TACTACTACTACTACTGCTTCTGCCACTACTATCACTACTACTACTACTACTACTACTATACTACTACTACTTCTGCCACTACCGCCACTACTACCACTACTGCCAGTACTATCACTACTACTACTACTACCACTACTACTACTGCTGCTGCTGCTACTATTACTACTGATCAAGAAAGCTATTTACATGTGCCTTAAGATTTGCAAGGCACTTCCTAGGCATTATCTTGTTCAATCATCACAACCACCCTGTAAGGAAGGTGCCGTTGCTGTCCCCATTAGTTCAGCCTCTTCCTGCTGAATTCTGGGTCCCACAGGTTATTTGCTCCAAGCTTTAGTCCACTGACACCCATTGTGTGGCGGACTCCATTCTTTTCTGTTGCATTCCGAGTCTTGCTGCCATATAGCAAGTCAGACAGAATGCTGGTTTTTTAAAGACGGGCTTTTGCTTTCATGAGTAACTTGGGGGTCTTGGAGAAGCACTGGATTTCAAGAGGACCTTGAAGGGGGCAGCTAGGTGGTGCAGTGGATAGCACACTGGCCCTGGAGTCAGGAGGACCTGAGTTCAAATCTGACTTCAGACGCCTGATACTTATTAGCTGTGTGACCCTGGACAAGTCACTTACTCACCAAAAGAGCAGGGAAAAAAAGTACCTTGAAGGACCATGCTGTAACATTTTTTTTTCTCTCCATGAGAAAGAAACTAGAAATAGTAGGGTGAAAAATTATATTTCAAAGTGAAATTATAATACCTGCCTGTAATTATTTGCGTTTAATGTGTGTTTGCACACACAGGAGAATTTATAGTAAAATTGTTTTTTTTTAAAGTCTGTGTCAATTAATGTGCCTGGTCCTTCTAGTGTTAAAAGAGCTTTGCAGTTTCTTGAAGACATCTAGATGAGGAAACTGAGGCAAACAGAGGTGAAGTGACTTTGTCCGTGCTCACATAGTTAGTCAATATCTCAGGAGAATCTGAACTCGAGTCTTCCTGACGCCAAGTTCACAATCTAGACCTGGAAGCAAATTTAGTATTCCATCCCACTCATTATTTTATAGCTGAAGAAACTGAGACCTGGAGAAGTGAAATGACTTAGAGCCAGTATTAGAACTAGGTTCCCTGGTTCTAAATCTAGAAATCTTTCTTTTTACCACACTGGAGATGGGAACAAAATAGTAGGAAGGAAGGAAGGAATGGAGAGAGGGAAGGAGAAGGGAAATAAGCATTTATTAGGCACCTACTATGTGCCAGGCACTGTGCTAAGCACTTTGCATACATTATCTCATTTGATCTTCATGACTACTCTGTGAGGTAGGTGTTATTATTACCCCCATTTCACAGTTGAGGAAACTGAGGCAGACAGGAGTTAAATGACCTGCCCGGGGTCACACAGCTATTAAGTGTAGAAGGTCCTATTTGAACTCAGGTCTTCCTGGCTCCAGGTCCAGTGCTCTACCCACCACATCACCTAACTGGGCTACTTAGAGGCTGGGGATCCAGGCTTAGTACTGTAGCATCATGGCTCACCCCGACACTGAAGTGTACGTTTTCCTGGGGAAATGGCAGTATCTCGTTTCATTTTTGTATTTCCGGTGGACCCTACCCAGTAGGTGCTTAATGAATGCTTCTTGCTGAATTAAATTGAAGTTGTAGCCATGGGTCTGAGCACCAAAACCCTTAAAACAGACACAGAGATAAAGGAGAGGAAACTTTCTCATTCTTTCTTTTAGGAGCTGCGGTACTTCCCTCGTCCTGTTGTGTGAACTACATACAGAAGGCAATCCCCCCAAGCCTGGTGGCCAGCTACCAAGTGACCAACCAGAGTGCCTGCTCGATGCCTGGAGTAATGTGAGTGCTCGGGTCCTGGGCCTACGAGTCATTCAGGCCTCTCCTCTTCACTCTCCTGGACCCCGTAACCAATCAACCCATTGCATCTCTCCCACTCATCCTGTTCTCAACACTCATATGATCATCTTAGCTCAGGCCTTCAAAAGCCTCCAATCTCTCCTCTCTTCTACCCAACTTCCATACAACTACCAAGTTTATTCAGTCCTAGTGGCCCACTGAAGGTCGCCTCCATATAATATTCTGTATCCCTCTTCCATGTCATGGCACAGGCTATCTACCATGCCTAGAAGGCTCCCCTTACACCTAAATCATTTTGTATCTATCCCCTATTTACTTAGCTCTAAATGTGTTATATTCCCCCCATTAGAATGTAAACTCCTTGAGGGCAGGAACTATTTCACTCATTTAATAACAATAACAGCTAGCTGTTACATAGCACCTACTGTGGGCCAGGCACTGTGCCAAGAGCTTTACAAATATTAACTCATTTGATCCTCCCTGGGAGGGAGGTGCTATTATTATCCCCATTTGACAGTTGAAGAGACTGAGGCAAAAGAGGTTTTAGTGACTTACCCAAGGTCACTTGTTATTGTCACTGCCATTGCACAGGGCCTGGGTATTTAGTAAATGCCGATTGATCGATTGGGTCTCTTGATTGGGGAGGGCCATTATAGGGTGGCTTTTTCTGCCCCAGAGTAAGTTGTGCAACCCCAGGAGGCTAGACTACGGAGCCAAGAGCACCTACCCTACATGACTGTATGGCTCCTCATACTCCTACATACATGAAAAAGAATTGGTTGTAGGTTCCTAAAGTTGGAAGGAAGCTTAGACAAAATCTGTTTAAACCCCTTCTTTTTACAGAGAAAAAGAGCCCGGAGAGGGCAAGGGATTTGCTTCAAGTCCCCCAGCTAGTGAGTGATGGACAAAACCAGGAAATCTGTGTTGCAGAAGACAGAGTGATGGGCTTAAGTCAGGAAGGTCTGGGTTTGAATTCTACCCCAGCTACTTACTAGCTATGTGACCCTGGGCAAGTCACCTAATTCCCTATGCCAGCTTCTCTTATCTGTAAAATGGACCCGATGAACTTGAAAGGCCCTAGCAGATCTCGCATCCTGAGCTTCTTTTCCACCTGCTTCCTATGGGTTTTCATAGCTATCTTCTTATTTATAAAGTCTTCATGGACAATGGGTGTGCCACATGTTTCTTACTATGCCACTTTCTCTAAATCACTCCAGATTTCATTTTGTGTATCGTTTTTTATGGTACAGTTATTTTCCATCACATTCTAAGTTTTCCATTATAATCTGGGTTAAATGTGGTGGTCAGGGGAAGTCCCCTGGAGATTGTAGAGGCCAAGAAGTTAGTCTCCTCCCCTTCTTCATCCTTTCCCCTCTTTTCATCCTTCACCTTCATCTCTTCCTCCCTCCCTCTCTCCTTTCCTACAGGTGCTAAGTGCTCCCCTCTCTCCAAGGTTAGGATTTTTAGGTCATCGTAATTATCAGAATCACATTGATAAGTTTTTATTTTCATTCTTGTCCATTTCTTGAGCAAGTCCCCTTTCTCCATATTTATCATATATTCCCCAAGATATTCACCTTTAATGTATGATTTTCTCTTCCTCCCTCCTTCCTTCCCTCTCTCCTTTCTTTTTCTTTCTCTGTCTTTCTTTCTTTCTTCTTCCCTTTCTTTTCTTTCTTTCTTTTTCCTCCAGATTTTCTCTTTTATGAAATGAGATGATTTAATTTTTAGTATCCCCAAGTTCCCCTCTGTCTCTGATTATCTGTTGTTCCTTCCCCTACAGCTTTATCACCAAAGCAAACCGACAAATCTGTGCTGACCCCACAAGGCAGTGGGTCAAGGATCGCATGAAGATGATAGATGCTAAGAAGGTCAAGCTCTCCCCCAGGGCTGGGCTAAAGGCCTTGAGAAAACCCCTCAGGAAGCCATCTTCTAACAGCACCACCATGGATCACTAGGATGGGGGTGGCATCTACTGGCCAGCTGCCTGGGGGAATGGAATAGGTGGTGGAGAAGGCAGTCTTCCTCCTTCTCTCTCAGCTGGACCATCATCAGAGTAAATGGCTAATACTTTGTACCTCCCAGGTTTCCAGATGCCTATTTGCCACCCATATGACCTGGAGCAAGTCCTCTTTGCTCTCTAGGCCAGATCCCTTCTTCCTCCTCTGTAAGATCAATGGAGTCAGAGATCTAAAGTTAGAAGCACCTGGGAACCGCTGAGCCACCCTTCCTCCGCTTCATTTTACAGAGAAGGAAGCTGAGGCCCAGAGAGACTTAGCCAGCATCACAGGTGGGCAGAACTGGGGTTCAGACCAGGGCCTCGGGCTCCAGTTGTGGCCTGACTGGTGATCTCTAAGATCTCTTCCAGTGCTAATGTCCTATGCTGGTTTCCAAGTGAGATGATGTATATAAACTGCTTTTTCTACTTTGTCAAGTGTTCCATCAATGTAGACCATTTCTTTCCGTCCTAACCCCCAGCTCTGTAGCCAATGGCCCCAGTCCTGAGTTGGGGGTGAGGGGAGGAAGGGAGATGAGGACTTCACTGGGAAGGGATGTCTTGGTTACTGTTCGCACCATTGGGAGGGTGGAATCCTTTCCCCTCTTGGCACAGAGGCTTGTAGAAATGCTCTAGAAGCCCCAATTCATTAGCTCTTTTTCTAGAAACACAGATTATTTCATTGCAGGCACCTTGCTCAGTACCTGGCACAGAGCAGTAACAAATATTATAGACTGACCTGCTTGATTGTCTACCATGAGCAGAGTGAGAGAAAATGTGGCCTAGTGGAGATAGGGCTAAGCTTAAGAGTCAGGACGACCTGGATTCAAGTCCCCCCACCACATACTGGCAAGGACCCTGCATGAGCTGCTCTGTTTCTAAGTACCCCCATGCAATTCTCTAAGACAAGTTGCCACCTGCATCGCTGAAGGGAGTTTCCGCACTAGATGGTCCCACTCCCAAGACGCCACAAGACTGGAAGAAAAAGAAATGTGCAAGACACTGGATTATTGATGTGTCTGGAGCAGTAGTCAGATGTTATCAGGGAGACAGAGGCTCCATGGATACTCTTGGGCCAGACCCTAAGTGAGCCTTGTCTGGGGCAGCTCCACGTAGCTGTTACCTTGAGTTTGGGCTTGGGGAACCTGAAAAGTTATCCCGTCAGGGATCAGGGTATCGTTAGAGTATCATTTTACATTTTACAGATGAGGAAACTGAGGCAGAGAGAGGACGCGACCTCCCTGTGGTCACACAGCTAACAAAAGTCAGAGGTAGGATCATAAACCTAGAACAGACCTAGAGGTGACCTTGTCCAATGGCCTCATTTAACAGATGAGGAAAACGAAGTCCAGCTAGGTGGGCAGTCAGGACAACTTGAGGATACGGAGTTACAGTATTTATGGGGGAAGAGGGTTAATTTCTGTGAACTTCTTATATTATAGTTATATGTGTATTATTTATCTTATCCCCTTTCCTAGAATGTAAGTCCCTTGAGGTCAAGGCCTCTATCTCCATTTATCTTTGTATCTACGACTCCAGCCCAGTGCCTCTTATTGAATGACTATTTAATAAATGGTTGTTGAATGAAATAAACTGAACTTTGATTGAGATGGGGCTGGGAGAAGGTTCGTGGGCATATTTTCACTTGAAGTTTTCTGATAGGTAATCTGAAAGTCTGATTTTCCCATCTCAGAGAAGAGGGCACTGTTGGTTTTGAGAGGATTTGCCAAAAATGCTGCTTTTGCAATTAGGTGGTGTGTGGGGGTTAAAGGTGCAGGACTCAGAGTCAGAATCACTGAGTGCAAATCAGGCCTCCCAAACTGTGTGATCCTGGGCAAGCCACATCATCCTTCTGTGCCTCGGTTTCCTCATCTGTAACACGAGGCTAGTAATGGCACTTGTCTCACAGGGCTGCTGTGAGAAGCAAGTGAAATAATATGTGGAAAGCATTTTGCAAACCTTAAGACACTCTGAAAGTCCTAGCTATTATTATTTGAATAGCTCTCTCCCTCAGAACTTTCCATGACCCCCAAAAGTCACTTTGCACTCATTTTGTGTAAAACTTTATAGTGCTCAGAGAAGGACATTAAAATGATCCGCTATTGCTCCTGATCTCAGAGAGTCGTTAATTTTGTAAAGTGGTAGCTTCCGGGAGGGTGGGGAGAGGGATTTAGCCTCTCCTGCAGCTGCCTGTAGCTGCCTGTGGGAAGTCGGTTCTGAGGTGCGAGCACCTGAGGGGCTACTGCTTTCCCAACCTGCATGAGGGTGAGGAGGTGAGGAAACTGAGGTTTAAGGGCCCACCCAAAGGACAAATGTACAATGAACAGTGGAGCTGAGGCAGGACTGTGGGTCACATGCCTCCCTAGTCTGCCTTTGGGAACCCGTTTCTTAGTGGTTTCAGATCTCAACTTGGAGACATGAAGACCATCCTAGGAAGCAGGCCCCCTCAAGCTGATGAGGAGATAACCTTCACCAGAGGTGCTTAGCAGAGAGGGGAGATCATGCAGAAAGAGGAAAGAAGGCTGGCAGGGCCTCATGAAATGTTGGCAGGGTCTCATTTGGGAATATCCCCAGAAGACTAGCTCTCTTCCTGCTGGAACATTCCCTCTCTCTTCCCCATCTCCTCAAATTTCACTCAACCTGGAGACCTCAGGCCAGTGGCTTTGCAAAGGAACAAAATACTTTTGGCATTTCATCAGTGGAGTGTGGGCTCTAAATGGTGTTGCCAATGATGTAGATGGGCTGCATTGAATCATTCCTGTTTTTACAGAGCACCTTGGAATGAGGACACCTTGTCCAACTCTACAGGCTAGATCTAGGTCTCAGTAAATGGAGTTAGGAGTCTATCTGTAAAGGGGGTTAGGATCTTTTCCTTCTCTCTCACCCCTCACAACCAATCAATGGCCAAGTCTTGTCAATTCAATCTCTGTGACCTTTCTCTCACATATTCCCCCTCTCTCCACTCACACAGCCTCATTACCTAGGTCCCAATCACCTCTTGCCTAAAATATTGCAACAGCCCTCAATTGATCTCCTTGCCTTCAGTGACCTGCATAACCTAATCTATCCTCTACATAGTTGCCAAAATAACTTTCTAAGGTACATGCCTGATCATGTCATTTCCCTACTCCAGAACACTACCTATTTGCACTTTGGGGAGAAACTTTAGAGGCTGCATTTTACAGAGGCTCAGACAGGTTAAGGCAGGAGTGGGGAACCTGTCAGAACAAGTCTTTTTATTAAGGGGATTTGTTCTGTGAAGTTTGGTTTCAGTCAAAGGGCCACAGTTGAGGACCTAGAGGGCCATATGTGGCCTCAAGGCCATAGGTTCTCCTGCTCCTGGGTTAAGGAATTTGCCCAGACTTCCAGTTAGTAAGTGTCAGAATCTAGAACCAGTTTTTGGAACTCCCAGTCTATTATTCTATCCAAAATGTAAAACAAACAAACAACAACCCTAAGCCTTATTAAACAATCTAGTAAGGCTGGGTTGACTGCTTTGAGTGGAATTGCTGAGGACTCCCCCATTCGCTTCCCCAGAAGTTGCAATGACCATCCAAAAGTCCCTTGGCTCAGACATCAGAAAGCACTGGAATGAAGGAGAAAGTGCAGGCCCTGAGACCATGTGTCCTTGTTCCCACTACTAGCATTTGCTCTGACAGTTTCCCTTCTCCCACATCTACTCGCTCCTCTTGACTGGTATAGCCCTTTGGCCTCTGGCTGCTCACACCTGGCAGGATGGGGCTCTTTAGCTTAGGCCAGCACATGAATTCCTTGATGTCTTTCTCAACCGCAATATTCTCAAGAAATCTCTCCAGGAAGTCCCTTCCCTAATAAAAAGAGGGTCAGCCTCAGCCTCGGGACTACTGTCAAGCCGGGCAGAGTTTGAAGGGACACTGAAGAACCATGAAAGTCTCCAGGATAGTTCTCTGTGTCCTCTTAGCTGGTGTCCTCTGCTCCACAGTCCAGGCTGTCATACGTAAGGCTGCTCCCTGGCTGCTCGCTGAAGTGCCTTTCTTTTCTCTCACAGCTGGGTGCTAGGGGAAAGCAGTGAGGAGGATGGGGCATTTCCAAAGTCTGTCTGACTTATTTTTTTTTTCAGGAGGCAGTAACATTGCCAGGTACTGCTGTGAAAGATACAGTTCCAGACCCATCTCCAGGAAGTTTGTACAGACCTATGAACTCGCCAAAAGCAGCTGCTTTCTACCTGCTGTCATGTGAGTATGTCTTCTGGCCTGGAGAATGGGGAGAGGGGCTCAGAAATGGCAGAGACAAAGCAACCTTATGACCAGGCAGGGTGCTTGGCCTTTAGCATTGACAACCTTAGTATGACTGAATGACTGATGGACTCATTTATTCCTATCCCACCTCCAAAATGGGATGGTGGGCAAGTCACTTTCCATATTTGTTCCTCTATTACTTGCAAAATGGGGATAAGAATTCTATGATCCTAAGTCACTTAATCTCCCTGAGTACAGGACTGATGTATTGATGATGCTGCCTGGTCTAGACTCTATCTTTAGGTAGCATTTCTAAGAAACTCCAGCTGCTTCTAGGAGAGTTGTGTTGCTTTGTAAGTTTGTAAGTTGTACTGTTGTTGAGCTGTGTCTGATTCTTTGTGACCCCATGGATTTGTCCATGGGTTTTCTTGGCAAAGACACTAGAGTGGTTTGCCATTTCCTTCTCTAGTATGTCCCTATTTTACAGATGAGGAAACTGAGGCAAACAGGGTTAAGTAACTTGCCTGGGGTCACATAGCTAGTAAGTGTCTAAGAATGGATCCGAGCTCAGATTGTCCTGTTTTCAAACCCAGTGCTCTATTCACTGTGCCACCTAGTTTTCCCATGGGAAGGTTATAGGGGTCTAATTTTCCTCTGGGTTTAGGGTTAGAGTATATGCAACCTGAATGTGGTCTGGGG